TGCCAAAGGTCAGTTAAAGCCTCAAGAAAGGTTGTTATAAGAAAGGCAGAGTCCCGGAGCCCACTGGAAGAGAAAGTGGTGGAGAAAAAAAAAGCCCCCTGTAGGATTCACGAGTTCTGTGGGGAAAGGCATAGGCTTTTTTAGTTTTTTTTTTTTTTGGAAGGTCAGGTAGAGAGGGGTAAAGCAAAGAAAATATGGTTGTCCAAAGTATCAATACTCAAAAAAGTACTGGCTAAAATGTTGTATCCGGATACAATACTAATTTTCAAAAGTATGGAAACCCCCCCTTCTCTCTGATTTATTTATTTACGTTGTTTATGATCATTAACATGACATTAGCCTTGAATTGCTAGCTGCGGATAATGGCTAATAATAACACGCCAACATTAATCAAGTCAAGGATGGATATCAAACTCCACCGACAGCCAAGTCCGCCATTTTGATTAGGCCACCAATAGGAAGATACCAGGCAAAAAATCCTAATTGCTTCATGGCAATATAGATGTTGTTTTAAAATCGGTTAAATTAATCTTGAAAACAATTAATTAAACCCTATACATAATATTATGTTGAAATAGTGGATGTTAAATAGGTTTCAAGTCCATACAAGTTTAACCAAAAGATATTTATTTATCACAATTATGAAGGCTGGAGAGTTAGGGTTAGGGTAATTAATGTGGGTCATCAGTAACAGGTCAGTTTATAACCAAAGACACTAACCTGTCAAAATTCAGTTACATTTTGGGGTCTTTGTTTTTATCCTTGTGGTATGGAATGGTATAAATATTATCCTGACTACCGGTATCCAGTTAAACACTTTAGTATCGTGACAACCCAAAAGGAAAGGGAGAGAATTAGACAGAACTGTGACCATAAGGGCAGTGGGAGTTTTTTCTGGAGTCCAGGTGAGTTTAGAGGCAGGTCAGGGCTGAGAGCAAAGCCAAAGGCCTCCGACGGGCAGCAGGCGGGGCGTGAATGAGTGATGAGTGGAGGAGGAGGAGGAGGAGAAGAATGGTGGGAGGTTCTGTTTGCCCTGCTGTTTGCATGCCGGCCTTCTGTCCGTGTCGGTAGAAATGGGCTCGTCCTTGCTCCGGTGATGCCGGTTTGTGTCATGGGAACAAATCTGCTCCCCAACTGGCCTCGGTCCAGAAGCAGTGTGATGGTTTTATGTTTTTTTCCCACTTTAAACGCCTCTTAATGACGATTTTCAGTCTATTTTGGAGGCATTTCGGAGGCAAACATCCCTATCTAACACAGTTCCTCCGTATTATGGGGACCTGTTTGGATAAAGGATTTATTTAAATGCGTTTGCATCGTTGGAATAGATTCAGTATTTTTTAATTTTTTTTACATTTTTTACTCTTATTTCTCACTTCTGGTGTTTACAAACCGCCGTGGTCTTTAAACATATGGCTGAATGTGCAGCTTCTGTTAGCCATGCAGAGATTCGTGGAGTTGGAGGCCGGATTCGGCATAATGTGCGTACAGATGGACGACCGCATCCCTCTGCTCGCTTTCATACCTTCAATTTTATTTTATTTCTATAGCGCCAGATCACAACACCAGTTTTCCAAACAGAGCAGCTCAGACTGGCCTCTGAAGTTATTTACAGAAGAACAACCTTTTGCCTTTCCTGAAGCTGGAACTGAGAGGAGGAGTTCAACCCTAGAGGATAGTTTAGGTCTGTTTGTCCGCCTATGTTCATTCATGTTCCCACATTTCCCTTGTGAGATGGTAGAATTATACTGGTTTGGAATCAGACATGATTCCCAGAGAGGGAATCTGGTTTTCTGGTGTTCCCAGGAGAGGTTTGTCCAAACCAGGGATGTACCGATCCAGCTTTTTTCACTTCCGATCCGATACCGATCCCGGCCTATCAGAGCATGTGTTAAAGTTTAAAGTTATTTATCTACTTACTTAGTTGTCAGACTCATGTTGAACAGGGATTTACTCTGATGACAACTAGCAGCTGAATTAGGTGAGTTTGAATAATACTCAAAGGTTGGTAAAGAGACACTGACTTGTTTATTCAGGGATAAACACAAAATAGACAGAATAGAAATAGAAGAAAAAGCAAAACACACAAACAACCTGAATAGAAAATAGTCTAATAACTCTGTTTTACATCCACCTCTTCCTCTTTTTTGTGCTTAACGATAAAACATGGTCCTCTTAATGGTTAGGACACAGACCTGTGAGCTAGGAGATGCTAATGCTAAAGGGTTAGCTGGAAAATGAGCGAACCGGATATTGGGGAACAACACAGCGAAGGGGAATGGATTATTTTAATCGGTGCGCTGGAAAACAGATCAGACTTTTT